TCAAGTGACGGCTAACTCTGCCAGGCATCTTCAGGCAACGTTTGGCACATTGGCTGCACAGACCAACCGTGAAATGGAGCAGAAAACTGGGGCAATTTGAGACATTGATGCGTGTGCATGTGCACTTCACACTGAAGGTAAATGCACGTCAAATCAGATCTCCGGGTCAGAAATAAAAACGTGACAGCAAAACAGCTGACTGAGCGAGACTCACACAAGAAACCAAGGACAAATAGGGGTACAATATGAGTAATTCCAGAAATTTGGGGTCCATTTTTTTTGTGTCCCTGTCACATCTGGCATACGATTTTGTAAGTTCAGAACACATTTTCTTATTTCCAAGAGTGATGAATTACCAGTAAAACAAATTACCTGCCAAACAAATAGTAACAGTTTGAAATCAATTCCGGTAATATTTTTCCCTGTCAAATAACAAAGGTCAGATGTAAAAGGGACACAAAAATGTCACACTTTTTGGACCCCTCATTTCCGGAATTACCCATATACCGGTGCTAGCTTGGATGACTACAAACTTCCACACGTGTACAAATCAACATCACCAGAGGATTTTACATGTACTCCGAGCCAGGCAGTGCTAATTTGATTTTCCACAAATTATGATGTACATGTATTGACAGAATAAAGTGCCCATAATGCCTTGGTACACACAGTACTAGCGCATATGTACCGTACAGTGTACTGTGCTTGGGTGGCAGATGTGTTGCATTTCTTGATTTCTTGCCCAAGGATACAATAACACGCTCATAATGTAATGCATACATGTATATTTTTTCCTTTTCTTTTATTCTGAATGTGAAGAAGTACATGTAATTCAACTTTCTAGAAGACACAAGTACCACAGATTTGGGGTTTTTCAATGGCAACTGATCCAACTTGATGTACCGTAAAATTCTGCAGCCAACCTTCGCAAATTAGGGATCACGGGGTACGAGTCGTACCGTTTGAAAAATCTTGAGATTGAATCTTCAACGTGTGTACATCACTGACGATACATGTACATGTACATGTACTCATGCCTGCACACCTTGCAGACCACCTCCAACCAATCTATCCCCCTCCCCACTGGCAATCCTGAAGCACTCAACTGTGAAATTAAAATAGGTGAGGAGAAGCACATTTGTTGCCCTTCAACATGACTGACTGGCCATTAGTTATGCACGTACCCGTATCTCAATCCATGCATGGAATTGCACCATGCGTTGAGACGTGTCTACGGGAAGATCCGTACTCAGACAAGAAGGAAGCATGGCACCCAATTTGAGTTCGAAATTACGGGAAAGTTACTCATCATGCATGGTGATGAACAAAATCAGCTAGGGTTTTCAAATATTCAAAAACTACCGAACAAGCCAATATACAAGTAGCTACATATACATGTACATGTATACATACAGTACGTACATATAAGCAACAAATTCACTTGAACATTGGGAACACCGGCCTCAAAAATGATCCTTTCTGTTTAGTTACAAAACTCATTTACATGTACATGTGCCTTGATTGTACATGTACATTGCTCAGATACCTGAATGTATAAATAGACATGTATGCAAATGTATGCAAATTTCCAAACACAATGCACACTCACAATTCAAACACTGATTGGTCAAAATGCCACCAGCCACAGGCGCACACTAGAAAGCGGCCACCTGAGCATGGGTAATGGATCCGAAACTTTCACTGCGCCAGATTTGTCAACAGCTCAGCCTCTCCAGGAGGAAATTCCCACTCTCGGGGCTGTCTCAATTTGGCAGGGGAAAATCTCTGATTATGGGCCCATCAGCATGCCGCCGGGAAAGTCTTTCCCTCCATTATGAGCTTTGGTTTTGTCCTTGGTTTTTTTTCCCTCCAGCTCAGGCGAAAGTGACACTTGCTCTTGTCACTGGCAAAAACATGGCTAGAATTTCAAGTGTTTTGGGTGGTTCTGAACTGTGAAGTTGTGCCAGGTTGCGATCTACATGTCCCAGGTATTCCTTGCGCTAGATGTGTGGGAATAAAGTCAAAGGTACCATATTGCTGCTACGCATGCACGCGTACAATGTACTTCACATTTGCTGCTCTGAATGAATGCATGCTACATGTACAATCAATGGTTAACTCTATTGTAGCAACAATGCATATTTGATGAGAAAATTTTCACAGCATGTGGGACCATAGTCACATGTACATGTACATGTGGGAACAGTACAATGCATTTCCACTGTGTGCAATGCACCGTACAAAACCAGTGTAAACTGAACCGGCAGAATTTGGTGTGTACATATATATGACAAAAGTTGTGTGAACAGCCCAAGTCATTATGTGCGCACTGTGCAAATAGCTGTCTACACAATGAAGAAGCAGGTTAAGTATTGATGCATGTACTGATATAAGTACATGTACATGTAAATGATCTACATGTACCAGGTGCGTTTTTTCCCCCCATTGTACATGTATATAAAAAATATCTACCGTACATGTACATGTACTCGTAATGTGCAGTTCTGGTTCCCATAAACCAAAAAAAAGCGTGTCTAATTTGTGACCTGCTCTGTGAAAATGTGTCACCAGTTGCCAGAGCCCCTTTTCAGTAAACAGGCCTTGCAAGGATCTCACACCTTGGGCAGCAACGGGAACCTTAATTTTGGAAACAGCAATAGGAACCCTCAACATTTTTTCACCCACATAATGTCTACCTTCATCAGGATGCCCAAAATGAGCGATGCATCAAAACAAGGAGCCGATTGAAAAATGGCCGTATAACTCGTTTTCACAGAATGGGTCAAGTTTGTGGGAAGAAAATAACACGTAGATTTGTACTACAACAACCCGTCAGGCAATTGCATACACTGTAGTACTACAGGCATGTACCAAAGCGCAGACTGCATACATGAACATGTACAATGTATATTTTTCACTCACGGTCACAGTGTTCAATAAATCATTTTTGTATACAAGTGCAAAATTAGCCTGTTCAAAGCCGAAGGAAGTGTGTGAATTTGTTTTATGTCTTGTTTGACTTGTAAAATGAATAATTGAGACGGAGCTCCCTGGGTGAGCACAATAAGTTATCCTATATGGCAGTATTGAGTTATGCTCAAACAGGGAGCACTTTGATCATGGACGCCATTTTGAATGATTACTGCTTTTTTTTCCTCTCCATTTTCTTAATTCTCTAACTGCTAAATATTCTCTAGTCCCGCATTTGTCCATCCCTGAACTTGTCTACCTCTTGGCCAACTTCGTTTGGATCATCTTCTTGTTTAATCTTTCCCTCGCAGCTTCCTCCTTCTTCATCTTCAGGGCAGCCCGAATGGTACACTCCCCGGACCTTTCAGGGCAATCTCTCAACCACAACCGGCACTGAGCTTGCTCACAAGCCCCTATTAATGTCAGCCCCACCTGCTCCCGTTACAAAACCGCACGCTCCTGGGTTCTTCTTGTCCACAATTGCTCCTACTCTTCCCTTAGCATCGAGACAATATCTTGAGAGCTTCCCACAGCTCATTCTTGGAGCTGTTTTTCGCTGCAGCTCTTGTCAGACAGGTGCTTTGGTATCAAACCAGTTGGTGAAACAAAATTGAACTCATCTATTTTGTAAAAAAACTGCCCAGGGAAAAGACCCAGGTTTCTGAACAAGTCAATCCAGGCATTTTGCCTTTAAAACCTGGCATTTAAACTGTCGCAAGTGATACAACATTTCCTAATCTCTCCATCACGAATCTGCTCTTTGTACTGTAATCCTGGAGGGACGGATAAAACACAACTGAAGAGGAGAAAGAGAGAGAGAGGCTCTGAAACTATCTGAAGCTTCCCCGTTGTTAAAATGACCAAGAGAGACGCTGTGGCGTTCAAGGGGTGGATGGCCCTCCACGGTGCAAATGACGGCAATAACTGTTGATGAATCTGGGTTTCTAGAACAGATGAGTCCACGGTTGGCACTCTGGATGCGGAGCCCCCCCCTCGCAATACCCGTGTCAGATTTCTCCCCCCTTAAGTACACACTTTGTCAGAGGTTCTGGCTTATATCAATCTTGGTGGTTTTTATTCATGCGTTCATTGATCTGCTGCTATGAGCTTTGCTCATCAAATGACACTGATGTTCCAGAGGTCTACGACTATTGCTTTCATCTAACAAGAAGACAAACTTGCTTTGAGGGAGGTCCCTCATAAAAAGGACAACCAGTCAATAGAAAAAATTCCCAACGTAAGCACTTTGGCGCTGTGAAATGGGGCTTGTTTTTTCCCCCACCTGTGGCCTGAAGTTTTTCTCTTGATACGATAATTAGGATGGTAATTTTGAAGGTAACTACCCACGTGACAAATTTCTGGCCAATCAGATTTTCACTATCAAAATTCTACTGCAGTGCTGGCAATGATGCACCACACAATTTTGCCACTTATCTGACGAACCGGCAAATCAACCGTTCTGGTGATTTTCAGATTTTATCTCATGAACTGACAAATAGGTTGGACAGCAGTATCCAAACAAAGTATTGCTCATTGAACCAAAAATACAAATTAGGAAATGATTTCAAAGTTCGTATCTTTATACAAAGAGATCAAAGAGGGTTGAATTAAATATCGAAAATGAGCACGCAATAACTGCTTCACTGAAAATTTTTTTTTCGAAAACGGTGATATCTGATTTTTGTTGGTTCATCAGATATGCGAACAATTGTGTGCACAAAAGTTTTGTGCCCATTCTAATGAACAACAAACAAATGCAAATGATCTGCCATTCATTCTCTATGTTAAAATGCTTGCGAATCAGAGCCACCTGGTAAATGCACTCGGGAATGAGGCTGTATCTGAATCTACTATTTTGAGGCTACGACTTCTGGCTCGGGACAGTGACATGCCGTGGCAAACATCCAAAGCCAGAACCAAAAATGGTCTGTTCCAAACATAGCCTCGGTGTCCTTCCTATCCATGAGCCACACAGCAGGCTCATTACAGTAGCTAATGTTGCCGAGGCAAAGCCTATGGTATATACTCACCCTTTCTCTCGGTTGACTTTTGAATAATATGCCCTGGAACGGATGGCCGAGTAGAACGAGAACGCCTCGTTTAAATAGTTTGTTTCGCTCGTTCTTAAGCTGGGAATGAAAAAAAAAGGCAACTCAAAATTAACCTCTGCAACAGAAAAAAAAATTAATAAATAAATTCACGGATAAATGTACCGGTGCCGCATCCATGTAGCTATGGATGTAAATATACATGTATTACTTCCAGAACATCTGTTCTGGCAATACAATAATCATCAAAGAAAAAAGTATACATATTCAAACTGACAACCAAAGATGCAAGAAAAGAATTTCTGCTGGTTATGTCATCAACAGTCTGGCCTTACATTTTGACATTCATGCCAAGGTACCGTACCGGCAGAGGCAAGTCAAGGTAAGACTCTTAATAAGAAATGCGATATAAGCAATCCGACTGCTCTCAATTTTATTATTATTTTTTTTTCGCTTCTTACCGTTCATGCATGTACAATGTTCATGTCCTGTGTACCGGTACGTGTCCTGCACCCAGCAATGTCAATGACACAACAACCCGCTGAGGAGTAATTTCCTTCCAACGTCGTGCGGCATTGCCTCAGCAATGCTCAGATCATTATCAGTGCTTGGGCTTTCAGAGATGGGGAGGCAGGAGAAGAGAAAGACAGAAAGCCCAGGGAAGATTCACCCCTTGTTATTTTTCCCCTTAAAGCAGGGAACATACAAGTGCATGCACTCCTTCATCGATGTGCTGAAAACACTGTGGCAATCCCTACAATACCTGACTTACAGGTAATAGTGTTTGTCTTTAATAGAGGACAGGACACCAAGGGTGCACGTCCCTATTAATTTTTTCTTTTTCTTCTGTTTTTTTTCTTTTTTGGGGTAACTCTTCCTCTTCCCTTGCTTTTTCTTTTGTTCCCAACTAGTTATTTAATAGCTTTCCGCAACAGAAATTATCACCAGAAATGCCCCCGGGGCCTGCCATTGCAACCACAACATCTCTGTACATTTCTAACTCTGAGCCATCAAGTAAATTTCTTCCAGTTATTTGAAAGAGACTGCAAATTGTTGGACCATGTACAATTTTAGTCGAGTTGATGCAGAGGTGCCATTTCACAAATCGAAGCAAAGGCCAACTTTGGCATATTCTTTCACTTTTTTAAATTAGACTCGTTTGCGAAACCTCCGTCACAATGTCAATATTACAAGGATCTTAATCTAACAGTCCCAATTCCTCCAATTTCAATACAATTTTACATACACCCAAGGGGGTTAGGGTTTTTTTAATTGAAGCAGAGGCACAAGTACACAGCCAACAATGACGCAACCAACATTCACCGTAGGAATGTCCCTTTAATTCACTGCATCACACTGGAGTCCCTAGCGCCTCGGTGCCATTGTGTGTGCTGAGTCAGTAGAGAAACCAATAACAGACAGTGTGCCACGGGTGTAGACAAGTAATGCAATTAGGCACATTTTACATAATTGGTGTACCTTCTGATTCTCTTGAAATTAACAAGTGGTAGCGTTTAGTGATAATGAAATTACTTAATTCCTGTGATCCACCAGACTGACATTACTGTTTAAGAACAGTGTAGGCAAACGTGAACGAATGACAGTTAAATGCATCTTTTATGAGAGAAACTCAAGCCACAGGTACGGTACATGTACATGTACCGGTATATGTAGGTACATGTATGGTAATGAAATACATGTACTATGCTGTAATTACAATTTAATTACAAAGTTACCAGTGTAGTTTGATTTCCGTGGATTTCTGCGGGTATGCAGTTTTGTACATTACTCACAAGCTTGGTATTGCATATACACTCTACATGTACATGTATGTACATAAGCATGTACATGTACATTAATGCCTAACATGCATGTACAACTTTGGTCACTGATACATGTACAATGTACCATGTGGGGTTTCAGTTGACTTCGGTGCATCTGAGGAATTTCCAAAGCCTGATGCTTAATGAATACCTGAATAAATGAATATGTTTATACATACATGTACAATGTTCATGTACCGAAAGGCCTCAAAAAACAGTGATAAAACAATCAGTTCAGTTCAGTTCTGTTGAATATATACATTAATTGCAGATGCAGACACACTTAGCCTGGCCTCAAATTCCGGATCTTTAGGGTGATGGCCATTTTGCTTTTGATGGTGACAACAGAAAGTACATCTTTACCACATGACCTTGAGCCCCTCAAAGCCCTTCCTGATCCATTAAAATCCACCAAAGATTTTGGAGGATTGTGTAGGATTGAGGAAGGCTGAACCCAGCCAATACTACCATACATACATGTACAACTTCATGCTCCTTGAAAGTCAAAGAACAAACTGACTGCCATTGGTTTTCTGCAGAGGAGGACTTTGGAGGATTCAGCCAGGGTTTCATCTTAGATTGAAATATATTTACCCCTGTTCCTTCCCAGCTTAAAATTGCCAGTCTTCTCCTTGGAAAATCTTTGCAACTGGCACCCTTCGGTGCTGTCTGAGGCCATAGTTCCACTGCACCAAATACATGTATGTAGGCTACCGGTACTTTGGAAAGAAATGCGAGGACTTGCTCACCAGTGCCAATTATTTAGGTGATTATGTAAATTTTGAAATAGTAAAATTGCCTGTCCAAATGTTTCATTTGACTTTCCTGGCTAGACGAGATGCTGAACTCAGCACTGTTTGTAGCAAAAATGTCCACGGTTCTCACCAGTTAGTACATGTACTATGTATCATGTCTAATTACTGAATCAAACAAAATCCCACAACACAACAGTAGGAAGCCTGTTGGCTCCTACGGAATCTAACAAAAAAGTGGATATATACAGGTTCAGGGCTCATATTAATAAGCTCCTATAAAAGTAACATTTACCAAGTCAAAGGATTAATATTTATGAGAGTACCTCCTGGCAAATGTTAGCCTGTTCACAAAAACCCATCAATGTAAATCAAATATGAACAGTTACATACATTAATAATCAATCAATTGCTATCAACCACTGACGCCAACAGCTGGCAATCAATAAATCAATCAATCAATACATGTACATGATATTTACATGTAGGTAAGTGACAGCCATACTATGAACTGATGGACTGACAGTACGGTATCTAACACAGACCATTTCCATAATCAAACCGACTGGCTATCTGAATGTCCTGATTACTTTAAATTTCCTGATGGCTTTGAACAGTTAAATTACAGCCAACGTTTTCCCAGCGTCAAGCCCTCCTGTAATCCCCCTGATGTTGTGATAGCCACGTACTGTACATGTACATGTATGTGTATGCCGAAACAGAACGTGAGCGGCAGGCACAAGTGGAAAGTTGGCCCCGGCGAACCCTCAGCAGCCATCAGACCAAGAGGCGACGGCACTCTATGCATTTATGCAACAGATAACGGCTTCTCCCCAGTGACTCGACACCTGCAACCTCCCATCTCCTATCGGTCCCCGCAAAACTCATCCATCTGGGTTTGTTTGGTTTTTTTTTCCACCTCCATTTCCCATTTCAACCTGCACAATTGACCATCTTGAGTTTCAAGGCATACATGTATGTACCAATGGGTGAAAGTTCTTGCACAACGGCCACCTTCATCAGTGTACAAGAGTTACATGTACACGTGTACAAGTGCATATATACCATACGTTAGAAACTACATGTACATGTACGTCCATCTGTTGTAGGTAAACCGGTATGTATTTGTAATGCTAGTGAAAAGGCAGTGGGAATCAATACGGGCGATTCACAATCATGCGCCTTCAATAGTTTGCAATGCGTTGGCCAATCACAATGCGCGAAATTTGTCGACCCTTTGCAACGCGTTGGCCAATCACAATGCACGAAATCTGTTGATCCAATGCACGTTTGAAAGCTCTTGGAGGCACACTATTGTGAAACGCCCGCATTCCAATAAAATTAACAGTCACAGTGGAACCCCTTTTACCTTGACACAAACTTTTACCCTCATTACTTACTGTCAAACCCAGACAACAGTGTGATGTCTCTTCGCATCATGCAGTGCAGTAAGGTCTGCGCCCTGCCAATATTTTAAAACGCACACCTTTTGGGACGTTAGTTTGGATCTAATTAATTACCTCAGAGCACAGTGCTCCAAATCAACCTGTGGCACTTCTTGTGTCAACAGTGCGATTGCTTAATTGCATACACGTACTAGTACACTGCAACCTTCCAGCTCAGTGTAAATCACACCTTGTACACCTATTATTAATCAGTCTCCGTTTTTACGTGGCAACAACCGGACCATTTTAATTGTTTCCAGCCAAGCAAAGGGACATCAATCTTCATTCACCCAGAATGCAATCACGACTCCAAGCTCCCAACAGGTTCCCCCGGCCTGCCCGTAATTGTCAACTCGAGGAGCTCTCTTTCAGCTTCGCAGGAATAAAAAGTACAGGTATAACAAACAGTGAGGAAAAAAAAAAAAACAAAACACAGAGTCTGTCCTATGAGAATTGGCGGTTTTATTAGCGGACGGGTGACAATCAGGGGCCAGTCAAAGACGCTGATTGCCATGGTGTGCAGTCACACACTGTTTGACTTGCAATGTGGAACGAACGAGCTCCGTGCATCTGTGCACTAGGCTAGACAGCTGAGTACGACAACTCCACTAAGATCTCTATTCGTACATGTACGTGCCCTTACATGTATGTGTTGTTTTTTTTTTTACCAAAGTACATCCAGTTTGCTAGAATCCCAGCTAGTATTCCCTCCGTGACTAGCGCAAAAATCTCACAGCAGTCCATCCAGTTTAACAAAAAAAAAAGGTCATTAAACCATCTCCTTGAGCACATCAACATCCTACAGTTAGTATGGCTGAGTAAATCTATCACCAAACCCATCAACCCAGTCCCTGAACTGGAAGGATGGTGTCAATGCTGAGTATAGGCCTAATTGCATTCCTGGTATGAGTTTAGTTCCCCCAGTGCCCTAATGAAATTTCAACTGAGAGCTTGACCACTTCTGGCAACCCGAGTACCTACAAATGATGATTAATGGTCCCCATTCTCCCGTTCCCATGAACTTAAAGGGTGCACGGCCAACTTACAAGTTCATGTACGGT